ATATTGTTACGCCGTCCTCCTTCCCTAGGTCTTACCACAGTCTCTCTCTTGCCCCGTAAGATCCGTCTGCTATATCCCTGGTTCACGTATTTTACTCGACCCCTGCCACCCCATCTGGGCTACTCGAGGCGTTATTAGCCCTCCCCTGCATCTGGGTAACTAATTTGAGGCTCAAGCCTGTGAGTAAGTGTCATGGTCAGGCCTTTACCACATGGACGACGTCTTATAAAAACTACTATCAGCCTACTAGCTCCTATCCCCGCCGCGTCTATCTTGTTTCTATCTCTGATACCAAGTCTATGACTTCCCATGCCCTAGTCTCTTGTGCGCAAACTCACAAATGTTGTGATACTACTTGCTTTGGTTAGGTTCAATGTTGAACCACGTTTGTGCATGTATTTTATGTTTTTTTGAGTCTTTAATGTAGTGCCGCTTTTCACTCTTCTATACTGTAGATTCTGCTAACCAGCGCCAAGACTTATTGTCCACTAGTCTTCTCAACAGCGTAAATCTTCGTCTTGCACATTCTGTTCCCGCATTCCAGGTGAAAATATTTATATAATTTGTATTCCGCTAGTTAGGTTTTTGTGATTCCCTTTATAACTAAGAAAATGTTTCTTCGACATTCTAAGTTATCTTTTCTCCATATAATCTTGGTCCTCATACCTACAGTTATCTTTCCTCTTACTTTTATTTGAGCTAGACCTTTTTTCTTTTTTCAATTATTTCCTTTCATTATTTTTAGGATACCTACAGTTATATACCTATTTTTCATATAAATTCCATCTTAGGTTTTTATGCTCTGTGCATTGTTATGAGACTTGCTTTGAAATATTTGCCGATTTATTGTCTTACATTATGTCGGCCAATATTTGTCACCTATATCGCGCAAACCATTCATCACTTTGCTGTTATTCATCTGTTTTCTTAAATTAAATAGGTTCGTCTGATTTAGTTCTACATCTTGGTATTTTCGCTGAAGAATACTTATTTACTTTTAATTTTTTTGTCTCCTTAATAGTCCGAGTCGAACAGTATCTCCTCTTGTAACAGTTCCACTCCCGGTTCTCCGTTCGGCTTTGTCGATCCCTGCTCCCCTTCTTCGTGTTCTGGCGGGTTATCGGGCTGCCTCGGTCTTGTTGGTCCTCTTATTTCGACACCCTCAACAGAGAATGGGGGTTTTTGTCCCCTTGCAGTTGCCGCAGCCAGCCATGCTGCAAGTGGGAGTGGCGTTAGCTGTAATACCAATGGCATCGGGGGAGGAGTCGGCAATTTCTGCTTAAATGGGTCGAGCACCTCAACTCTGGCCAGTGGGTCCGGAAGTGTGGGTGGCATAAGCGCTATTCCCCCTTCCAGTAGCCTGGCCTCTGTTTGCGGGTCGTCCAATATGCCTAATTCAAGCCCATATAGTGGACAAGTTAGCTGCGAAACATCGGCTGGATATGGTATGACTGTCATTTCTTGCGTTAACGGCTTATATTCTGGAGGACTTGGGGTAACTCCTCTTGGCAGTGCTGGCTCTGGCCCTTCTTCCGTTGCTGGTATTGGCTGTATTTCTGCTGCCACTAGTTGCATTGGTGTTGGCGCTGGTGCTGTCGCGAACGCCTCTGTTGGGGACAATGCTGGTATTGTTTGCACAGGCGCTAGTGCTAATTGCATCGCTATCGGCGCAGCTGGCATTGGCGCTGGCAATAGTGGGAGTGTCACTGTTGCCCTGAATAACAGCAATTCAATTCAGTGTTCTGGAGGCGGCCACCTCTCAGCGTCACCTCTACATCAGCCCGGCCACATTACATCCGGTTCAAGCCCCAAGTTTGCCACTGCCACTTCATTATCTCCCGCACACTCGGCTGCCTGTCCACTTACTCATCATCATCATCACCACCATCATCATCTACTACGTCATCAACATCTGCATTCGCAACACCATCCACTTGGGCTCCTTTTCCATCAACAGGCTACCCTCAATGGCGTTGCTCCATCATCTGCTCAGAACAAGCCCGGCCAAATGGCAGCTAGCGGGATGCAAAGCCCCAGAAATACTGGGACATGTTGCCAGCATTTTGACTTTCCTCGTAAGCACTTTTCTTGAACAATGCTAAGGTTTATTTTATTTTAATATTATTTTCACTTCATGTGGCCTTTAAAGGCCTATTTTCTGTTTTCATGAAAAAGTTATATT